ACTAAGTTTCATAGAATAGCAACTGTGTTTTTGTTGTTTCCTTATTGTCATGTCTCCTTGTATTTGTACAATAATATCAACCAACAAGTATTAGTTGAGTGATTGAATGAGCTTGAAGATATTATCATACCAAATGGCACATTTTGCTCTTTCAAACACGTGATCTGAGTGGTAAAGCTCAGGCATGGAAAATATAGTCTTGTTAAGATGGTAGCTTCTAGTATCCTTACAGAACATCTGGGGAGAAGAACAAAAAGTGTTTTGATTTCCCATTTGCAACCACTGACAGGTTGCTCTACAAGACAGAGGAAAAGAGCTGAGAGAGCTTATACTCTGATGAGGTGCCAGTCTTTGACATGGAGCCAACAGCCAAGGGCTCTGTAATGAGAACTCTTTAACACCAAAGCATTTCAATGGCTATTCCAGAGTGTGGATCGACAAGCAGCTGAATCTTTGAAAAGGTTTTCAGAGACAAATTCATATGCCTATGGAGCAATGCTAAAAAGAAGGGAAAATGTCAAATGAACAATTCATATCTTTAGGTTTCTATTATGATTTAAAGATATTGATGGGACTATAGCTATAGAATTAACAAAGAGATAATAGAAAATAAATACAGGATTTCAAAAAAGTCAGGTATAGTTTATAGACTTGTATCATTTAGTGATTTTGGAGAGTTAATTCACCTTTGTGATCTATACTTTTCCTGTGTAAGAGACAGTTTTGGTGACAAGCTAAAACAGAAATACAATACAACTTTATTGATTTACCAAAAATATCATGAAATACTATTGTCTCCTTCTCCCTTGAAATATCTATCCTTAACTTTTAAGATATTCTTATGGAAGAATCATGATTATTATGTCAATTTATGTATCTATGTGTGAGATAATTTATCTACATGATGCATTATCAGTAGTTACAAAACAATCATTCAGTAGGGCTGCATTTGTTAAGAGCTGTTTAACAAAGTGGCGGATTTTATCAATTATCTAAACATGTTAAAAGGCCCTACTAAAAGTGTGATAATGTGGAAAGAATATTGAACTGTGTTCTATGGGGTCTCCGCACTTAACCAGAATTGTGACAGGTACTAATAATAGTTAAAGGATCCCGAGAGGTAACTTCTATTCCTCAAAAAGGATGGCTGAGTGACTGAGTGATTAAGGCTGAGTTCAGTGACTCAGATATTTGATTGGCAAAGGTAAGAGTCCAAAACTGATGACTACAATGTAGTACTACCTTGAAAATTAAAATAGAGCTTTTAATATTTTAGAAATGGGATATGCTAACTTGTGTTAACATTAAAATTTAGACTTAGGGCTATGGATTTTAGGTACTAGTATCTGGACGATTTTGAAGGAATAGGGTCATTCCAAGTGAAAAAGTTAATTTGCTGAAACACAGGTTGAAAGCTTACCTCTAAATTGTACACTGGATAATATGGATACAACCACTCTGAAAAAATAAGACTCTTTAAGAATGTTAGTTTACACTAGTAGGCAAAGGCATTAAAAATTTAAAAAAAAAAAAAAGCATATATATAAATCTGCAGGTGAACCTGGCCTGATTTCTGCTTATTGAATCACCTTTAATTATAAAGATCATGGAAACTTTATATACTTATTAAATTAAAAAATATTCGGGAATTTAGTGTAGTAATTATATATAATTTATAAACTCTTGGTAAATGTGATGAAAAAAAGTATTTTTGTTTTTTTCCTCAGGTATTAAATAATCTTTTTAAAGAAAGAAGACAGAATTGCTCTAAATATTTCTTTATTTGCTTTTCTGGAACAATTTGGAAGCATTAGTTTTGGAAAGCTGAAAATGGAGTCATTTGGGGACTTTTCCTCTGCTTTCTTTTCCCCACTTTTAGGTCTTTTACTATCACTAATTTCTCTTCAGTTATGCCTTTGCCTTTGTTTCTGAATCATGTAACTTATGGTTTCTGGTACAAATTTGGCCCAGTAATCCATGACAGGAACCATCTGGTGGAAATCAATCTCTAGATACCTTGAATAACATGACTCCAATTTGGGAATCAGTTTTGAGACCACAAACTTGATTTTGGGTAGAAAACATGGTATACTTAATCAGAAGGTTGAAGCAAACATCCTCAATGCTGGAAAATACAATGGACTCACCAAATATCAACCAGGTTGAGTGGAAGGAATTAGTCATATAGTAGTAGGATGAACATGGGTTTTGAAATCAGAAGGCCCGATCATCATATTCATTAGCTAAATGACCTTCAGCTAGTTTGTCAATATTCCTGAAATAAGGATTAAGTGAGATTAAAACTTCAGTGTCTTAACTGTATAAATGCTAAGTGTGCTAAATAACCAAGCATTTTCTCTTTAGAGATATAGTGCCATACAGTGATTTGCTGGGTTCAAAATAAATATCAAATCTTACAGGGCAATGTCCTAGCACTTTTGGGTATTAGTCCCAGTTTGTGCATTTCAGAGTTTATTTCAGTATTCTAATAGTCTAACAACTTCTGCATGATAAATACATAGTGGGATCCATGAATTCCCTGGTCACATGGCTTGAGCAATGAGACTGCTCACATTGCAGTTTGAATCGATTCCAGAGCTTCCTCTTGCTCTGTGTATCACTCAAAACCACAGTTAGAAGTTAGACTGGTGTGCAACGACACAACTGTTTTTTAACTTTCTATTGCAGTAAAAATACATACAAAAAAAAAAAAGCCAAAGTTATAAGTGAAGTACTTGATGAGTTTCCATAAAGTAAACACACCCTAATACAGCTACGATTTTGCATGATGATTCTAAAAACTGTTAGTTCTATAAACCAAAAATGTTTCAACCCTATTCTTGTATGACTACTTAGTACCTAGATTTTAGAAATTCTTTCGAACAATTCAACCCAACCATAACTTCATTCCACCTCCCAATATAAAATGGATAAATTGAGGTAGATTTATAAAATTTAGTTCTCTGTATTATAGTGGAATTCTACATATATATAAATAAATAAATTCTCTTTCTGTCATTTTTTATGAGGATAATCTCACTTTCACAGCTCCACCAGCTCAATGGATGAGGGAACATATGCTTCTCCATATGCCCATCACAGATTCCTCAATGCATTCATTACTCAGAGCTTGGTGATTGAGGAATGTTTGTAATATTTTATTTTTTCTCACAGTGAGTCATTCTACTGTACATTTCAAAATCTGTGATAAGTTGAAAGATCCAAGAATTGAGGTATGTTTCAACAAACAGCTTCCCATCTGCTAAACGAGAGGTTTTATTTATAACCAGGTAGTCAAATACAGTGGTATGAAGTGGCATTCAAACTATTTTTGTTTTATTACATGTTTCAAGGACTGAACAAAAACACTAGCCCCTTCCCATCCATTCTCCTCAATTGTAGGCAGATCAGAAAACTCCTAGACCTATAAGTCTGTACTCCTATACCTGTAAGGCTCCAGCAGGTCAAAAATCCTCACCTCGGCTAGGCTTCCCATGACCTGGCTGGTTTCTGTTTCCTTCAGACTGTCTTTCAGATCCCACCTCCTTCCTGCATCCCATCATTCTGGATCTTTCAGTTCATTCATTGTATCTGTAAATCAATACTCAACTTATGCAAAACATGTAGGTAGGCTTAAGATAAGGAAACGATTATGGGGAGTTCCTTGCGTGGGTGGGCCTGCATGGATGCAAAAGCAGGAAGGATTATACCAACTGGAAGTATCCCTGCTACCTGTGCTCCAGGAAGCACTGCCTGTCGTAGTGGTTCTCAAATTGTCACTTTAGAAGATCAGAATTTCCTGAATATAGTTTTTAAAACACAGATTTCTGGGCCTCACCCCCAGAAATTTTGATGAAATAATGCCCTATAATTTGTGTTGTACCAGCTTTGCAGATGACCTTGAAGCTGCTAGTTTAGCGCCCAAGTTTTGAAAAAACTCTGATCCAGATTGTATTGATAAGTTAATGGCTTACTACTCAGTAAATTTCATCTGGAAATGATGCTACAAATTGTCTCTCTCTCAGCAATAGCTTTTGTTCTGCCTTTTTCAACTTTGAAGCATATGGGTCTCCCATTCATTCCTTTAATCACTCAGTAACACCTCTCTTCCAGTTCTACCCTGTTCCTACAATCATGAATTCCACAACCATATCAAGTTTGGTCACTTACTGACTTTTCCTGTTGTATTTATAAAACTGTTTCAGATGTTATGATCTTTAGCCAAGCCAAACTTTGAGATTTTGGAAAGAAAACTGAATAATGTTATGTTTCCATTTCCTACTTCCCACTTTCTTATCTTCCGTTGATTTGTTGAGTAAACTTAAGTGGTGATGTGAGAGACCTGATTTTGTATTTTCTGTACAATACTGATGATAATTTTCCAAGTAGAAGATTATTTGCTTTGGAATTATTTCTCTTTGATGAAATGATTGCCCAAGTGGGTAGCAGTGTGGCTGTTAGGGTGGTTCTGATAATTGCATGTTGATTTAAGGCTTTACATATTGAATAATTAGATTACTGTTGACCCTTGACAGATGCTTTCAATTCCTTTAGTTTTATCAGCAATCATAGTAGTAAATTACAAAGTAGCCAAAACCCATTGTAACCTCCTTGCATGAATAAGAAAAGGTGTTAATAGCACATAGTAGGCACTCATATTTGCTGAATGAACCCATACACTCATTCAAAATAAATGCACAAATGATTTTATTTGCTGCATGAAACTAGACCAGACATAGCTCTGTGAAATATGAGCATGGTTGTTTTGTATCAGTTTTAAATTTGGCAGGCTACCAAATGTTAATTTACTTTTAGCTAGTTGAGATTAAATGTAATTCCTTCCCTAAGCAACCTTAAAGTAAGCAAGCATGAAAGCCTTTTCAGAGTAATCTGAGAGGAATTGATATTTAAAGGAGTTAGCATTACATCTGTACTTTAAGGCTATTAATTTCATAGATAAATTAATTTCATTACTCCATCTTTATCTTGCATTTTGAAAGGACGCCATCAGCTGGACAACTGACACCCGAGGGTCAGTTGAAACTGCTCTTATCCCAACCAGGTTGTAATTGGAACCTGCTTCTGGAAACCCTCCTACATCATGATGCTCTTTTACTGAGGATCTTGCTGAAGAGCTCAAGTGAGTATTTGCAGTTATAAAAATGTTCTTAAAAAACCCAGTCACTGCAAGAGTAGAATTTTTTTTTCTTACTTGAATGTTGATAGAAGGATGTAAACCAACTGCATTAACTATCAGTGGGGTTAGCAGCAGGGAAAATACTGAACTAGTTCATAAATCAATTGCAAATGACTTGTTTTTTCAGGAATGAGGAAAAAGAATATTTGTATATGATACAACTCAATCATATCTATGTTATATAGAAATGTTATCAATATTCAGATTTGAAATGTTACCAGCATCCAGATTTGGAAGCCTAAGAAAATTATAGAAGCAGAATTAACACAGTTCTGTTACAGGGCAGTGAGGGGGGCACCTCTGAACCCCCATTCTACCCTTTTCCTGGGGACCACCATGTTATACTATGACCAGAATAGAAATCTCAACAGAGAGAAAGAGAGAGAGCATTAAAGCCACACTAAGAATGACAATGAGCCCTAAGAGTGTTTATGTAACTTATAGGCTAGCAAGCTGTGGTTTATGGCCATATCCATTGGGGCATAGAGAAGTAATCATGAGAAAATTGTGAGTGGAAATGGAGTAATGGAAGACCATGCTTCTCTTAATTAGACTTTCTTTCCCCACCCCCCTGTAAGTGCTATTATAGCAAATGGTAAGTAATGTTATGCCAATTTAATATCATATGTCAGTGTTCTGCTTCATCCTTGAAGTTCCTAGCCATTTTCATATACCCCTAACTCATAGCTTCTTCTATTTTATACCTCACATGAAGCCATATCAATTTAATCTATCACTAGCTTCACTACTGGTTTTTGATGAAAATATTTTCTCTAAGTACCAATCACCTGCAGCACCATACTCATGCCCTTCAGCCATTCAAATATGACCTGGGTTAGTTTTCTACTCTTTCCTCCCACTGCTCCCTTGTAAACATACCCTATTTCAAACATTTTGCACTAAGCCCAAGGCTTCTTCCACACCTTGGCTCACCTGTTTTTCCTGCTTGAAAGACCCTCCATAGATGACTCAGCTCCCACCAGTCTAATAGGATCAACTGATGTTCCACTCGTTGAACACTTTGGTTCATGCTCATCTCTTTGCTTCTGAACTTAACAGTGTCTGTTATCTGGGCAATTTATATGCCATCAGCATGCTTTACATTAGATTTGCTAGTACATTTGTATATGAATGAGGCAAATAAGAGTCTTTAAGAGCCTGTTTTTATTCAAAATAGGCTCATTTGCGAAATTGCTCCAGTCGTTTCTGGAAAGTTTCGGCTTTTCAGATTTTTTGGCACAAAATGCCTCCATATTCTCTTCTATCTACCTTGAGGTCTGCCTCCCTAAAACCACTTGGGAGGTGCCTCATTGCCTAGTATCTTGTGAGAATATGTCTTCTTTCCTAGTACTTTTAAAGTCCATGAAACCTTGGAGTGCTAGAGGTCATTAACTCTGTTAATCTCACTAGAATACTAAATAGAAGTGAGAGATCACCTCTCTCCCAACCCTGAATCTCATTTTATTCTTTAACCCCAGAGCAATACTGTTAGGGCACCACAGCTCAGAAAATTCACCTGAGAGCAATTTCTTTAGCTCCAGGCAGTAAGTCCACTCCCCTAAAGGGAAAACTGGTGCTAAGGAAACTACTTTCTGGAGTAGCAACATTTAATGCTTACAGAAGGTATAAAGTGATGTGCTAAGCACTTTGTATTTGTTATCTAACTTGATTCTTTTATAATTTTATAAATTATAAATTATTGTTATCCTCATGTTAAAACTAGCGAAATTGATGTTGAAGATGATGTTACCTACTGTGAGACATGCAGAGCTGAACAACAGTGGGTAGATCTAAATTCTAGCCAGAACTTTCTGTCCTCTGTGCTTCCTATACAAACATTCATGCAGATTAAATCCTAGAATGGGCTGGGGGGACGGGTGTCTGGATAACTATGATCTATTGAGTGGAATCAACCAGCATTCACTGATGCACATGCATTTAGCACATCTTTCCAGCTAGGTAGTTAGAGCTTATCAAGCTACTGTTGGTGAAAAGTAAGTCCTGAATGAATTCCACCCAGTAATATTTTATGGGCTCCATCCCCACCTCTATGCCAAATATTCCAGCTTCTAGGACTACAACCCCCATCATGCCATGGGATCTGCCATAACCCTTTGACTTCTTGAAAGAGTGACTACTGGCTGCTAAGGGTGGGGTTAGTATCTGTGCTTTATATAAAATGAAAGGGCAGGTGGGTTGCAGAGAACTTGTTTTATCTGCCATCAGCATGCACCCAGGCTCCCATATCATACAGCTTTCCAGTAAGCAGCATGACCATTTAATGGTTCTATATCTCTCTCTCACTCTTTGTTGCATTCATGCATTTCTTTTCAAGTTCCCAATTTCCTGGCACAAGCCCATGGCCAAGAAGCAAAAGCCTTTATTCACATTTCTCTGTGGTTCACATGCCTCCTCCAAATCTTTTCTTGGTTATCTTCCTCCCAGTTTTTTCCCAGCTTCTCCTAGCTGCTCAGATCTACCCTTCCTACCGTGGTACAGGGAATATAGAACTATCTCCACCTCCTTTTCTGTGATTATTATACTATTATACTATCAATAATGCTTTTTACTAAAAGTCCAATGATGGACCAATCAGTTATCAGCTATGATACTAAGGTATGGAACTTCTCTTAATCTTTATAATCTGAGTTTCAGAAAAGGTTCCTACATGACATGGCTAGTAGCTGACAGGGCTGGAGAGGCTCTAATACAATCATTGAAACTCATAGACAGGGTCTTCTAAGAAAAATAGTCTCCTATTGATAGAGGTACTTAAAAGAACTTGGAAAATCAACTGAGATCAAACCACTTGACTTACTGTGATAACCACTAAGTACAGGAAGAACAAATGTAGTTTTAAGCATTTAACCATGTTTTTATAAATAAGTCTCTCATTACTAATTAAAAGTACTATATCCACCCTCTGGAATGCAAAACAGGATATGTTTTCGAAAGACTTAATAGTTAGGGAGTGCAGAAGTATATTTGCAAATTGCTCAAATACTGTTGTTCAGGATTGCATAGAAGCTCTATAAGGTCTTATATTGAACTTTACTTGCTACTTCAAATAACGTTAGGATGAAGTGACAGACTTTAGCAATCAATTGAATGACCAATTTATTAAGCTCCAGTGGAAGACTTGTCACTTTAAGTTAGAACCAGTATACTCAGGGAATCTCACTAACCAGACTGGAAATTATTATCTACATAAAATATTTGTAATAATTTTTGCTGATTTTTCAGCTGATGCCTCAGAGTATTTTCAGAACACCTGTAATTTATTAATTGGCTCACTTCTTCAGAAAAGGATATTTTTAGAGTGCATATGCTGAAGTAGGATTTCAAGTAACAGAAACTGGTTTTTATGGAATTTTTTTTTATATTTCATTTCGGGCTAATTGGTAAAGCTTATTTGATTTACTTTTTTATTGACATAATGTTGGTTGACAATGTAATTTGTACCGTGGGAGTACTGGATCTCCCTCTTCATGTGTTAGCACCAAGGTGCACCCTGCACAGGACACCTGTAGTGCACTCCCACAGTCCTTTGTGCTCATTCCCTGCTCTTGCTACTTGCCCTCATTTCCCCTCTGGATTCCTTAACTCTGCAGTAAATGTTCAAGGGGTAGTTTTAAGTTTGGCTTGATCTAGACTTTTGTTTGGTTTCTCTGTGTTCCACCTCTATTGAAACCATCCGGTCTTTGTCTTCTCCTTTCTGACTTATTTTGCTTCGCGTGATCCTTTCCACCTCCATCCATCTTGCCATAAATGGTATGTGTTTGTCTGTTTTGATTGCTGAGTACTATTACATTGTGTTTATATGATAAAATTTAATATTTGTTTAATTGATTTAAGATAAGAATAAAGAGATATGCATTACATGTTTTATTATATTTATAAAACAAGTTCTCCTTCAGTAAGTAATTATTAAAATTTGTTAAGGTACACATTTTTTCTTGATAACAATCATATTGTAAAATTTAAAACACATGGGGTTTTAATCAGAGTCGTAGCTTTAGCTTTTGGCTTTGTTCTCTGGAAATGATTTTTATCAGAATTTCTATTTCTTTTTAAAAAATCAGCAGAATATATATGGAAATGACATCCTTATAATCTGAAAAGGAATATTGCTGAGGACATATAATTTTAATAACTTAAAATTAATTTATGAATTAAAGTTATAACTTAGTATTTGATAATTATAAATTATGTTATGGGCTGTATAGGTTGTGAGCTTCTGGGAAGTAGAACCATCTTTTGCTGTGAACATTAATTCTTCTTGTATCAAAATTGTTGCATTTTGCTAAAATCTGAAAAAAAAACATGTCATATGGGTCATAACATTCTTTGGAGAAAGGTATTTATATTCACTTTAAAGTTAAGATAGGTCATCTTATCTGAAGGAGTAACTTTTTTTTTAAGATTTATGTATTTATGCATACGGGAGTGGGATACAGGCCAGAGATACAGGGGCAGTGAGAGGCTTCACCAGAGACAGAGTGGGGAGCAGAACAGGCAGATCAATTGCTGAGGGGAGCAGTGGCTGGGTCAGGATAGGTCTGCCATGCCATGTGGATCACCTCCGGGGCCGAGAACGAACTCTCACTGAAGAGGCTATGGCCAGCTTGCATTGCTGTGTCCTTACCTGTTGTGCCACTGGGGGGGGCCAGGAATAAAAAAATTAACTATAACTATTTATAGAATAAATTGTAAGACACTGTTTTGAACTAGTTACTTTAAAAACCCAAGGCAATTGTTTTGGTAAATACTTCATTGAGACCACATGGCCTAACCAGTCACTACGTAGCATCAAAGGGACAAATATTTGGCATTTTCTCGATTGTTAGCAGGTGGGCTCTTCCTGCTAGTGACATTTGAATGAAGTGTAACTAACAGTCTTTCCTTTGCCCATTACTCCAATACTGATAACTACAGAAACTTTT